GAAATTTTAAATAGTTAATTTGATACAAATATCGATATATTTTTGTTAAGCATAAAGTACTGTATATTGATGCATATTACTTAAAATTCAAGATTACAGGTAATTATGCATAAATACAACTTATTAAAGCTCGATGTTTGAATTCGTATAAATAACTGTGGATAAACATAATCAAATAGAGAATGAACATCTCATTTTAAAATATAAAAAATCTAAAATATAACTACAATAATTATCGAGTTCCAACAAAATAAATAATTATTATCTTTATAAAAAAATTATATTATTAAACCAAATTTAAATTACTTATTGTACATAAATTAAATTATAAAAAAATTTGAATTAAAAAATTACACAAAAATGAGGAATTTCAAATAGTTAATTTGATACTAATATCGATATACTTTTGTCAATTTTTTATGAAATCTTCAAACATATATTTTATTTAAAAATAAAAACATCATCTCAATCTCAAAATAATATAAATCCATATTATAACATCGACTGAGATAAATAATAAAATGAAATATTAAAATCACGATGTATCTCGCTGCATTGCGCGAGTACCCTTCTTGTATATATATATATATATATATATATATATATATATATAATCATGGTTAATATGGTTAATTAGACAGAGATTTGAAAAACGAATCGTGATATTACGGGGTTTTCAAACCGGTAATAGCATGACTCAACATTCATCATGTATTTGAGGTTGTTTATTTTCTTGGTTATTAGTTAGTTTTTTTATGTAATCCGAACGTAGAGTTTTATGAAGTTGTATGTATATACTAATAAGTTGTAAATATGAATTTTAAAAGATTTTGAGAATATTAGTAATTGTTTTATGATATAGTATAAAATTATATATATATATATATATGTGTGTGTGTGTATATATATATAGGAGGAGTAGGTTCAAGTGGGAACAGTTCTATCTTACAAAAATGAGAGAACACCTTATCGCATGTGATAATACATATGAAGGGACTTAGTGGTGTGCGAACGACGTGTCTTGCGATCTAGGTCGCACCAAAGGTCGTCAGTGTCTCTGATTTATTATCACATGTGTGTTATATCTGATGAAATATCCTATCACATGTGATTGATTATAATAAAAAATGTTCTCGCTTTCTCGTAAATTAAGGTGTTCTCGTTCAAACCTTTCCCTCCTCTCTCTCTCTCTATATATATATATTATATATATATATATATATAACATATACAAAAACTCGAAGTTAACAAACACGCAATGGAACGCCATGCCACGACTTAAACAATTAATATGAAGATTAGAGAAGGCAACTGGGTCGGGGATATTGGGGATCACAATCCCCATCCTCACTCCTATCCCTATCCCTGTTAGGTAACAAGTTTCCTTCCCTGTCCCTAGCTCCACCAGAGAACGAGAATCCCATCGGAAAGTCAAGGATTTTTTTTCCCGTTTATAAATTTTAATTTTTTCTATAATATCTCTATAAATCTCAGCCGCATGTTTATATGACGTATTATTTAAAAACTTCAATTAACAAATGCTAACGGTTGCGTTTGCATAAGACTAGTTCAAAAGTAAATAAATCAATAACTATATTCGATAATTCAAATTTGTACAAGCACGTTGTTATATCATCAAAAAGATTTTTCGAACAATCAAATCAATACTAAAATGACTTTTTTCCGATCAATTTAATCATCAAACATTGATTCTATTTATGTGTTATACATACTCATTGGGCTTGTCATTTTTATTATATTATACATACACAAATATATTTATATTATAATTAAAAAAACTTATTAATAAATACTCGGGGTCAGTGTCGGCGTCGAATTTGAGGGGTATCTTCATCCTTGGTTAACAAATTCCCCATCCCCGGTCAAACTGGGTTCGGGTGTCGAGTTCCCCGTCAGGTAAGGGGCTTTTTGCTAGGCATGGGAATGGGGCGGGACTCCAATCCCAATCTCCGTCCCCATCCCTGTCCTCATCCTCGCGGAAGAATGATGATCACATCCCAGTTCCCGTACCCAACGGGGAAGGGGGATCTCCACCGGGGAATTAGGGACTTGTTTTTCACGTTTATTTGAGATATTTTAAATCAAATGTGTTAAATACTATACTCGGGTAAGTGTATATCAAGTTACATTACCTTACCAGATAAATATGATAAGGACCAAGAATCTTATCTAGTAAGAGCGAAGATTAGGATCAAGAGTTTTTCCCAGTAAGTGATAACGACGATTCTTACCACGATTAACACTTTTACTGGGTAAATTGTTACATACGATGTCTTTTTGATGGATTAAAATCTAACCCGGTAAGTAATCAATAATGTTGAATTAAACGGCTGCTAATGATACTTGGAGACACATTGTTGTAGGACACATTTTAAAACATTGGATGAATTTTATATTTCCATTTAACTGTAATTTTATTTCAAAATTAGTAAAATAACAAACACATGTTTTTTAAACGCGATTGCATTCTAAACTAACTGTATCAGATGTTGTCCGTTTTATTCTCAACTGAACTCGTGGTTATAAAATGTGTATGATAGAGGAGATATCCAGTCTATTATAAATAACGTCCTTCCTCAATTGATATGAGATCTTATTATACAGTTCTTTTTCTTCTGGTCCCCTTCTCCTCGGTCCACACAAACCTCTTATATAATTGGTGAAAAAATTAAACTAGAATAAAAAAAATGAAGTTTATTTAATTTTAATCTGTGCAAATTATAAAAAAATATATGTTATATTTTGTTTTATCGAGTTGGATTATGATGAGAAGTATAAGAAGAGATCGTCATCTTTGGATGCACCGAGATGAGATACAGCAAGATATACCACATCAATCCCTGTATCAAATGTGGTTTATGGGAGTTTGAGATCAAATCTGATCAAGGATCAAGATTTTTTCTCACTTTTTCACCTTAACTCTACTTTTCACATGATCATTCACATTGTTTTTTATTTATAGTTCATGTAACATAACTTTAAAGCCTTAATATTGGTGAATGGAACTCAAATTTAACATGTCAAATATTTGAATGTTTACTTTATATATGACAAGAAGGGTACCCGCACAATGCAAGGAGATACATTTTGATTTTAATGTTCTTTTTATTTAGTCTATGTTGATGTTATAATACGATTTTATGGGGTATTGAAAAAACGATAATGTTTTTTTTAATAAAATAAGAATTTAAATTTGAAGGTATCATAAAATTTTAAAAAAAACGTATCGATTTTAGTATCAAATTAGATATTTAAAAGTGCTTGTTTTCTTTTTAGTAATTTCTTTAATTCAAATTTTATTATAATTTAATTGAGATTTAATAATGAAGTAATTCATTTTTATTTCAATAATATAATTTTTTATAAAAATAATAATTAATATTTTGTTATAATTCAATAACTATCCTAAATATATTTTATATTTTTAAAATGAAATACCTATTCAGTATTTGATTTTGTTCATTGATTATGTTTATCTGCAGTTAGTTACACAAATTCAAATATAAAGCTTTAATAAGTTGTACATACGCACAATTTACTTGCAATCTTGAATTTTGATTAATATACATCAATAGACAATATTTAACGCATAAAAAATAATTTTTAAGAGCTTTTATTAAATATTTTATAACATAATCTACATAATATATGAAAACATAATATATTTTTATTTAATTTCTGTTTTATATAAAATACTTTGATACTATATTTAAATTTCAAAAATTACAATTACACAAAATAAAAAAATAGAAAAAACTACGTGGTATTTTCATAAAATTTTGAAAAAAATAAAAACAATAAATTTAAAGGAAAAAACAGAAAGGGAAAATCTTTGACAAATACGGTGGTGGGAACAATCACTCAGTGATTTCTTTGAAAACAAAATACCCTCACCCCAAAAAGCTACATGTTCAGGTTATGGCTGATTAGTGCAGACTTTTTGCATATCATCTGCATCTCTCTCTCTCATCTCTCTCTCTCTCTATCCCTGCATCTATTGCAACACAAGGAAAGACATCATAGTGGCGCCCATGGCTTTTTCTTTAGTAAAGCTCATAACTTTAAACCTCCTTTTCTTTTTCTTCATGTTTTGCTTCAATTGGGTGCAGTTTAATGTTTACTTCTTTTTATGAATCATGTGTAACTTCCGTTTATACTTATTACTGTGTCATCGTCTCTATCTATCTCTTCTACCTTACGTGCATTTCTTTTTGCTTGTTAATACCCTTTTGTGTCCTTCATCTAAGCCTTTGTTTCTTCAACTAATCTGCAATTTAAAGCTTTCTTGAGTGTTTGATGAAGATCTGAAGAAGTGGGGTTCCAGCTGTTTGATGTTTTGCCACACTGAACTTGGGTCGATTTTCTTTTTCAAACTCATACTAGCTGCTTGCTGTTCATAAGAGTTTGATTTCAATATTTTCCTTATTTTATGCGTTTTCCGGTCTGCAGATTGTAGTTACGTTTAACTTGGTTGATGATGTTGGAATCAAGAATTCAAGATGCAAGAACGTGTGTGTGTTTTTTGGGTGTGCCAGTGTGTGTGCATAATCAAGAATCTACTTTGCATTATGGGTTATGACCTACAAATATTATATGCTTTTTTTAACACTTTGAATCATTATTAAAAGTGAATATACTTTATGAATATTTTTATATCCATGGGTACGCATAATTCTGATAAACAAATATATGCGTGATCTTCAATTATGAATTCTCAGATAGAGGAAAGTTATTATCAAGAAATCATTTGCTGCTTTGATTTTAAAGCTTTTACTAATTAAATTTTTTTTTTTTTTCATATATGATTCATCCATCATCGCATCAACTGGGTAGCTTAATGATTTGAATCCTGATCTACAAAACTAATCATTGATCTAACAATCAAGATATTGAAAAATGCAATGTTTGCTGTGAACCCAAGATGGGTGAGATTGAACTTGCTGTGGGTTTTATGCAGAATTAGTTTTCGATGAGAAAACTGATGTTGAATAGAGAGATCTGATGAACTAAACGATGCCGAACCAGCTATGGTTTGCACTGCAAATGATTTATTGGGGTGGAAAGACTTTCCAAAGGGTCTTAGAGTCTTGCTCCTTGACGAAGACATCGATTCTGCAGCTGAAATAAGATCAAAACTTGAAGAAATGGGTTATTCTGGTCAGTTTTTTAACTCCAAAAACTGTTCTTGATTTGTTCAGTTTTGAATTTTTGTTGACATTTAGTAGATCTTTTACTGCATACTTTGAGTTCTTGAGACTGTCTGAAGCATGTGTTATGCAAGATAATCATAAAAACTTCAAAGAAAAGATCTTTCTCTATGTTAATGACGATTTTTTTTATTAACTTCGATATCCAACCCGTTGTGCAAGCCGACTAATCCTAGGGCGATCACCTGATTTGCGGATAATCCGGAGTCACCGCGTTTGGACCTCCATAGCCACAAGTGGATTTTTATTCCTCCTTGGATTTGAACTTAGGACGTTCAGACACTTTTGACCTTTGGAGCCCAAGCCCAAACCAATCAGACACCAGCCTTATGGTTGTTAATGACGATTAGAAATGGATTAAGTGGTAAACCAGGTGTATATTAAATAAAAGATGATCATCTTTTTGTGTCTGTGGTTTATCTATTTGAGTCAAATTCTTAGCAGGATTAGGTTTGTATTCAAGCCTATAAATACTTTATCTGCATTAGTAGGGCCTTAAATATGTTACCTTTACCAAACACTTGTTGCCTTTTACCGGTTATCTTTTCCAAACACTTAATTGCCTTTTACCGGGTAAGAGACGCTTACACTGTGAGAGATGACTAGTCTTTATCAACAATTTACAATCATGCTGTACCATTTTGCCAACCGAGAAACCTTACCTGGTAAGTGACAGTGGTGACACTTACCCTGTAGATGATCATGGTGTTTACCACCTATCTTACTATGCCATTTTCATGACCGAGAATCTTACCCAATAAAGTAAGTGAAGATGGTGACTCTTACCCTGTTTGTGTTGGTAGACGGCCCCTAACTTCACGTTTTACATGTGCAGTTTCTATGTTCTTTAGTGAGAATGAAGCATTATCGGCCATTTCAGACAATTCTAATGGCTTCCATGTAGCAATAGTAGAGGTATTCAATTCCCACCGAGATAATAATCATGAAACGGATTTCAAGTTTCTTGGCTTTAACTCTAAGGTCTATACATCGTTACATTTTGTCACAGGTAAGAGCAGAGAATGAAGATCGAAGGTTTAAATTTCTTGAAAGTGCTAAAGACTTGCCTACAATCAGTATGTCCCATGAACCACTAATTGTAACTTCTACAAAAACTCTTTATTTCCTCATAAACTGCAAGTTTATTCTGTTCTGATTGCAGTGAATTCAGATGTGAATTGCCTCAGTACCATGATGAAGTGTATAGCGGTGAGTTTCCTTCCTCACAAGATCATTTTACACAACATTCATATCAAAAAACCAATTTGTCTTGGGCCATTTTACATTTTCATCTAGTTTCTCCATCAGTTTTTATAAACATGAATAGTTTATCAGCTGGTTTGCTAAATATAGCCTTATTTTTTATCAGTCATTCTAATAACATAGTGTTTTGTGATGTAGCTTGGTGCTGTTGAGTTCCTTGAGAAACCACTGTCAGAAGATAAACTTAGAAACATATGGCAACATGTGGCTCACAAGGTTGGTTTAACTGCAACAAAATAGGGTTTATATACACCAACAATGTCTTAGTGTCCTAATGTAGGACCAAACCATTGTGCGTCTCTTGTAAAATTGTAAAATAAACTTATAGGTTGCTTTTGGACGTCTTAACAAGTTTTTTGTAACACTTCTGAAATAAAGCGTTATATTAATTTTTTTATATGACATCATTTGAAAAAGTGTTTTATGAAACAAGTGTCCTGGGAAAAGAAGTATTCATAGGAACTAAAAAAACCAATACACTTTATTTAGAAGTACCTAAAGAACTTGTCAAGATGTCCAAAAGTGTTGTATAAACTTATTGTAACACTTTTACATAGGAAGTGTCCTACAAACTCATTGTAACACTTTTACATAGGATGCACAATTTTTTGGTCCTATAAACTTAATTACTTCTTGTAGTTTGGTTACCTTAATTTCACTTATTTCTGGTGCTGGGATTGTGAAAACTTCGAGCAGGCGTTTGCAGGACTTAAAGATCAATCTGAACGATTGCAATCTGAGAAGGCTTTGGCTGCTTCTGTTCTAGAGGTTCATATGGAACAAAAAGATATAAAGGAAGAATGTAATAAAAATCAAGAGCATAATGAGGAGGTATCTGTCGAAAGTGATAAGTATCCGGCTCCTTCAACCCCACAATTGAAGCAAGGAATAAGATTAGTTGATAATGGGGATTGCCAAGATCAAGATCAGGATCAAACTAACCGATCACCTGAAAAAGAGTGCGTAGATCATGATGGTGAATCCAAATTTGTCGAAACTACTTGTGATAATTTAGTTGTTGAAACTACTATAGAGATGAATTCGGCTAAGAGTTTGGAGGAGGGTATCGACAAGCCTGCAAATGATGAATGTGGTTTAGATTCTAAGAACGATGGTAAGAAACGAAATGAAGCATCTGAGCATCGTTCTAATTCACGGGGGACTAAATCTAGTCGAAGAAAGATAAAGGTAAGATGATGGTTGATGGAAATTCGAAGTAATTTTGACCATTTCTCCTCGATATATCTCCCTTCTTTCCTCTCAAGGCTTTTTTGGAGAGTATGGTATAAGAGCCAAGGTTCGCCACTCTAGGGACTCTTGACACTTTTGGAACAATATTGTGCATCTAGCCTCCGTTGTAAGGGAGTCCCGCATCAACTAGACTTGGGACCATTTGTTCTCGATATATGTTGGAATCTTCGTTCTTTCCTCAAGGGCTCTTTTGGAAAGTAATCTAATGGGGTTCCACATATTCTCACATTATATGTGAGCCCAGGGGACTCAACACTGTGGGACAATCTGTGCCCGTCTACGCTCTGTTGGAGGGAGTGTATTGGAGTCCCACATCGGTTAAACTTAGACCATCATCCCTTCTCTCCTTTTTGGAGAATAATCTAATGGGTAACAGTTGTATTTTTTGTCTTGATTGTTTGTAATTATAATGGATATGTTTCAGGTAGATTGGACTTCTGAACTACACAAGAAATTCGTACAAGCCGTAGAGCAACTTGGTGTCGATCAAGCCATACCTTCTCGTATACTAGAACTTATGAATGTGGAGGGTTTGACTCGGCATAATGTAGCAAGTCATCTCCAGGTTAGTCTAACCATCTTGTTACCACAAACGTGCACTCCATGTGCATCGGTGCTTTTTTTTCCTTTTGAAATATATAATAATTATATACGGCAAATACTCACACAAAGTGAGGGAGGTTGGGGTCTGCTGGTAACCCGGATACTGCTGGACCAATGATCTTTTATGGGTTATACCATGTGCAACCCTGCTTGCTTGTATCTATAACTGAACATATATTTGCTTCATGATTCAAGCAGAAATACAGATTACAACGTCGGCACATTTTGCCAAAGGAAAGCGGGCGAAAATGGCCTCAAACTAGACATTCAACGCCAAGAAGCTACTATCCACAAAAACCGATTGTGGCCTACCCTCCATATCATTCTAACCATGCCCTTTCTGGCAGCCAAGTCTATCCTGCTTGGCCACCTCCACACAGTTACCCTCCTCCACCTCAGATGTGGGGCTCACCGTATTATCCAGCATGGCAATCTTCGGAAAGTTGGATGTGGAATCCTTATTCGGGGGTAAATGCTTCTTTTTATTGTAACCAGAATACGGGCTCTTTCGGTAAGGGCTCTTTTAGGTGTAAATCTCGTGTCTAAAATCCATGTCCACCAATCATGTGTTGACACATGAAAACTTTATTGAAGAAAGAGAATAAGGAGATGAATCAAATAAAGTGATGATGTGTCTACACGTATGAATCGTAGTTCAACACTGCAATGTGTTGGGTGACATTAGATGCATGTCTTGGTGCCTGAATAGATCGATAATTGTAGCGTGAAATACCGGAAGGATCCTTATGCAGGCAAGATCTGCCTTACAGATAGATACAAAGATGATAAAAGAAAAAGATGGTTTTGCCACTGCACCAAGATGTCTGTTTTTCTTTTCTTGAAGTCCCATATAAAGATGAAGAAAGAAAAAGACTCTTTTGCCACTTTACCAATATGTCTTTTTCTCCTTTTCAAATCATCAAACTTGATATAAGCACGAAAAGTTCCCAACTTTGGAAAATTTTCATGATGGATGCACCTGTGAGGTCGAGAATCGGGTTAAATTGGTCATTTTAGACTAAAAGATCACTTTTGAATGTTCGTTTGCGACATTTATGTTATTATGATGTTGTAGGTACAAGCGGATGCGTGGGGCTGCCCAACCGTACCACCACAACCAACTTTTCCTCAAGTGAGTACGCTTTTTATGATCATTTGCACGACATGTGCGTCTTCTATTACGAAAATGTACTAAAAGTGACTCCGGAAAATGCAGAATGTTTCACAGTTTCAGGGTAGGGATTCAATGCAGAGTAGTCAAAGCATCCCAAAGCCTTCAAGCGACCATTTTCCTGTATGGACATTCACTATATCCGTAAATACATCATCATTGACTTTTATGGTCAAACATACTACTTTTCAATTTCGGGAATAGGGATGGATCCGTTTTCGTTTCCGAAAACTCTCGATACCCACGTTAAACATGATAACAATCTTCATTAACATCATATTTTTCATCATCAAACTCGAAAGCTGAACCTACTAACCGTTACTCCAAATGTAGTTTGTTTGACCATGATGGAAGTTATTGATAGCTTACAACTTGACTCCAACAGATAATTTATAATTCCTTTAAAATCTATGTAGGGCGATGAAGTGATTGATAAGGTTGTGAAGGAAGCAATAAATAAGCCATGGCTACCTTTGCCTTTGGGCCTTAAACCTCCTTCAACTGAGAGTGTCATTTATGAGCTGTCCAAACAAGGGATCTCCACCGTTCCTCCTCGAATCAACGGCTCTCGTCAACGCTGACATGTCTGCCACCTCATCCAACACCAATTGATGTGATGATCAATAAATTTCCTTGCATTGCCAATTCACAAGAGTTCAATGTGGTTGTAAATAGGTCCTAACTGAGACATTTTGTTTTGTGGGCCCACCACATTCTGCATGTGGGACCTACACATTTTGCCTGTGGGCCCCATCTGGGGTGGGTTTAAGAACTGGCCCTGTGCAATAAAAGCATTGTACATCTCTGAAGAGATTGTCAAAATGGTCCAAATTTTCCTCTTTGTGATGCAGTTCAGAAACTGAATTTTTTTGTTTTCCAGAGCAATAGTTGATCTTTCCAGGGCTAAAGTGTTTTAGTAACTTATATTTCTTGTATCAAAAGTTGTACCTTGTTCTGGATTGGTCAACTTCAACTCTGAACAAAGAGGGAAAAGAAATTATGGAAGTCGGGTGGCCTCCCTCATCAATTTGGATCTCAATAGTATTCTCTATCAAAACTTTAAATCAAATTTGATAAAAATTCTTAAAAATTATTTTTTACACATGAAGTATTATATATTGATGTATATTACTTAAAATTCAAGATTACAAGTAAATTATGCATAAGTACAGTTTATTAAAGCTTCATGTTTGAATTCGTATAACTAACTGTTATTAAACATAATCAAATAGAGAATAAACATGAAATATGAAAAATTTAAAATATAATTAGGATAATTATCGAGTTCTAACAAAATAATCAATTATTATCTTTATAAGAAAATTATATTATTAAACCAAATATAAATTACTTTATTATTGAAACTAAATTAAATTATAAAAAAAAATTAGATTAAAAAATTACACAACAAATAAGGAATTTTAAATAGTTAATTTGATACTAATATCGATATATTTTTGTCAAATTTATATTTGTTCAGAAATAAAAACATTATCTTTTTTTCAAAATCATGTAAGACTATATTATAAAATTGATTGAGATAAATAAATGAAATATTAAATCAAGATATATCTCGCTGCATTGTGTGAGTACCTTTCTAGTTTATATATAACACATAATTGTTTTTCTAGTTTTACGAAAAAAAGGTGGACACAAAGAATGTAAAGTCGGATTTACGAACTACATTAAGTGATGGTTTTTTCACAATAGAGCTTGTAAAGTCGGATTTACACATCAGTCGACAGATATTTTTATGTTATGTTACTTAAATTTCGAACCATTTAATAAATTATGATAGTATAAGAAGGGTCGGTGGCAGGCATTTTGTAAAGTGGGGCCGATCTGGTGTCTTCATTCAAGCAACGGTACATAAGAATAATCCGCATAATTTCCTTCGAATTGAGCCGATATCCATTACAATCGTCATTCAGTTCAAAGAATCTTTGTTACAGAACCGTACATGAGATTTTCACCTCATACGGCTAGAAAGTGGTATGAAGTCGTCTTATAAGTTGTCAAGTTGTTGTTAAGGAACGCGTTCCGCGAAGGAACTTAGGAGCAGAGCAAGAGGGGGCACAGGTTGGTGCGTAGGTGTAAGTGTTGGAGCATATTGATAGAGGGCTTCTAAAAGAAGAAATAAGTAAAGTTCGATCGTTGAGTGACAAAGGGAAAGAGATCAAATCTGGACGTTTTTACAAACCATTATGACCAGTTTGTATACAAAATGGTAACGATGAAATTTGTTACTTTTGACAAATCATTGGATCAGATTCATAATTTACTTTAAATTAATGGCCACGAAAGTAACAACTCACATTGATTGCCCTTTTTCTAGTCATCACGATCCAAAAGTTGAATACGACATATCATATGAACTTAAAATGGTACACCATCTGTGTACCAAATCTTTTTTTATGGATAAGTATTCAGCTACAAACAGTTAAATTTTTATGGTTTCAAATAGTGATGGCCAAAAATCGGTCCCGGGCCGGTCCCAATCGAGCCTGACGAAACGCATAACCAGCCTCAACCGTTGGTTCTTAACCGGTCCCGGTCCCACAAAACCAGATGTAACCGCCGGTCCCAGTTCTGGTCCTCCGGAGGGCCCGGGCCGGTTTGGCCATCACTAGTTTCAAATCATATGATTATGTTTTTTATTAAATAATATAAAAATTAATTTAGTCAATTCATAAATACATTTAATTAATTTATACTCCTTATAAATAAAAGGTTTATAACTTTCATAAATAAAAAATTTATAACTCTTCAAATAAAGCGTTAATTAATTGTTCGCAATGTGTATTCAAGTCCTTATACAATACTTTTAGTGATCTTTAATTTTTTTTTCTTGATGTTGTGTCACAGTGTGTTCACAAGGTGATTATAATGTGTACAAAATATGTGTTCATAATGTTTTATTGAAGCAATATATTTGATAGTGGTTCACATCATGATACTCTAGATTTATGCTTTCCAATTTCTACATTCTACGCTTTAATTATTACAGAATTCTGGTCTAGAGTTACATTTGAACATAATGATGCAAATTTCCTGTATGCATGTGAAAACAGAGAAAGTACCTCTTATTAATCATGTCATATTAATTTCAGTGTACCTCCTGATCAGGTGAAACTCCTACTGCTATTAACGAATTTTAGGTTTTTTTTAAGTTTCGATTGCTCTTAATTTTAAGGGTGTAACAGAAATATTTGTCGAACTCCTCAACGCCGTCTTGAATCAGGGCGTTGGTCTTCGTATGCTTGGGATACGTTGAACCGCTTCAGATTTCTTCGACATGATTTCATTAGTTTGTCTTCGACTCCATGATGATATCCAATACAACTAGTTTGATTCTAATCCCTATAAATCAACATATAATGTTTGGTATAGGTTTTAAGCACTTCATAATGAGAATTGGATACAAAACTAAGGTGTCGTTTACTAAACGCTTATCCGGGTATTGGTAATCGCTTATCAAGTAACATTATCTCATCGGATGAATATGGTAAGGACAGAGAATATTACCCGGTAAGAATGAGACAAGGACCAAGAGTCTTACCTGGTAAGTGAGGGCGACAACTCTTACCACAGTAAGCGCTTATTGGGTAAATTGTTGCATACGATGTCGTTTTGGTGAACTAAAATCTTACTTATTGGGTAAATTGTTGCATACGATGTCGTTTTGGTGAACTAAAATCTTAC